CGAGTGTGAGTGTGTGTGTAAACGAGGCCAAGTGGAGTGAAGTGGAATGTAGTGTAGTGTGCAGTACAGGACATGGCCCTGACGCAAGGAGTTTAGCGGTAGAGAGGAGTGGCGCTTGTCATATTTCCGGCTGCATCTTTTCCCGGTTTATGTTGCCGTTCCATCCTTGCCTCCCTCGTTATCTTACTCTCTGTTTCATTGCTTGCTTGCTTGCCAGGACAATTTTTAAAAATTCAATTTTCCTGTACATCTAAGCGGTTTGCTTTTATTTTGCCAAGTGCACACATATGTGTATGTGTATGTGTGTGAGTGTGTGTGTGTATGGCATAAAAGATTCTGCTACGAAATTGCCTTTGCAGGTCTTGTTGTTGTCCTTCTCGCTTAAGTTTTCGTACTCGTAGTCGTCCTCGTCATCATCATCATCAGCCTGTAGCTAGAAATGCAGCAAATTTTCAAACCAAATTGTAAAGGGGCGTGCTGCAGAGCATGCGGCGCAAGTAATAACATAAAACAAAAATAAAGATGTGAAAAACTAAACAAAATATTTTTCAGAAAATATATGGCAAAACAATGGCCTATCAGGCACAAGCCTCTAATTTGGCCCATGGCGTGAAAAAGCTATAAGTAGACAGAAACATTTTCAAATAAAATGTATTTCTTGCTTAATGATTGAACGAGAGCAGATGTATATAAATATTTGATTGGACTGGTATTAGGTGCCACAAATGCCCCATTATGGTGCCTCATTTATTTATCTAGGTACCTTGATGCCAAACTTATTATCAACAGAATAAATCAAGATTATAATTAGTAGTTAGCTGTCATACTGAAGCTAACACCACCACTCTATAAATTTAAATGTGTATAACATTTTAAAAGGAAGTAGCTAAGAAGTTTTCTACTCTTGATTCATCTTTATCTTTGGTGACTTACCACAGAGTATCACAACAATATTCTCAAAATGTAATTGGATTCCGAGATCCGCAGTTTTTATACCCTGTACCCAAAGGGTAAAAGGGTATATTAGTTTTGTGCGAGTGTACATGGAACACACAGAAGGATGCGTGGCAGACCCCACAAAGTATATATATTCTTGATCAGCATGACAAGCCGAGTCGATATAGCCCTCTGTCCGTCTGTCTGTCTGGATGAACGCAAGGAGCTCAGAAAGTATAAGAGCTAGAATAACCAAACTTGGTATACAGATTCTCCTGAGCCCGAGAAAGGACGAGTTTATTAATTTTTTCTAATGTACCCCCCACTCCCCCCTTATTCAAGATTTTCTATAACTCCCGTAATTCTTGAAATTTTAAACTAAAATTTGGTAGTCACATTAAGTTAGTGATTATATATCCGTATACCAAGTTATTTAATTTAATTTAATTAAATTTATTCATTAATTAAATTGATTTAATTTATTTTCTGTGGGGTGGTACAGGGTATTTAAGAGTTGAGCCTGCTCGACTTTAGCATTCCTTTCTTGTCCATACAAAAATCTTTCGAATCAAATCGTTTGCTATATAATATAGTGATCCAACATGATTGATCTAAATAATAAATAGCACTAGACAAAAAATTTTAGCATGTTAGCTCTAAGACTTTTGGCTAATTAGGCATTGTGGATCTAACATATGATCTGCCATTCATCTACTTACATACTACACCCTTACACTTTTCAGTGAAGAGTAAAAGAAGTTTGTAATCATTTGTTCCTTGCAGAATATATTTCGATGAGGGACTTCTACTTAAAATAAACCAGAGTGCCCTACATACATATATAGACAGGTTCAATTGCAAATGCAATTCGCTGGCAGTTCAATTTAAGTGGAAACAAAAACTATTTTTTTTTAGATTATTACGTGTGAGAGTCCTATTACGATTACTCTGCACAAATAGCTGCTTTTTTTCGTTTGAGGTAAAAAGCATTAGGCATAGAGCGTAAATAATACAATTTATATTTAATTAAAAATAATTATCAGCGCCAATCAATAGTCAAATTACAATACGCATTGAATTAATTTGTTGGTTAGCTCTCTATGAATCATACGAATGGATGCACTTGTTTTATTTTCTAGTGAAGAGTAAGCATAAAATATACTCTAAAGTTAAATACAAATAACCAGCTGTAGATTAGAAGTTTGCATTCTATTAAAACAATGGGTGAAATATTTGTAGGAGATGAAAATAGAAATTCACAAAATACGCAAGCAGTTTCAAAAGCAATAAGAATCTACTTTTAAGAATCTATTACGTTACAAAGAATACTTTTTTCCAATATTTGTAATCTATCCATATGGGTATAGGCCCACAGAATGCAAAATGCATGAAAATGAAAATGCATTCTACATAATCCCCATGAGGCACCAAACGTAGCGTAAGCAAGGAAAGAGGCGTTTGTGCCTCCCATGTTTGATGATGCGCAGAAGCTTTATGACGCCTAATCCCTAATATTAAATCTATACAATCAATTTACTGGCTCTATGGGGAGAGGGAAGACAAATTCGTGACAGCGCATTATTATTGAGCAGAATGTCAAATGACAAAGGCGATAGAAGGCAGACATTAGCGGTACAGACGAGTACAGTGACGAAGACACATATCAGGAATTCAATTTTCTGCATAGATAAGTCCCATACAGCATATGTGCGAGGCATATGCATAGACTGCCAAAGTGGCGAGGTCCTGACTAGAGGGAGTTGGGCCACGCGCGCGCTCACGCATATGAAAAATGCAGAGGAATAATGAAAGTCACCTTTGGCATAATAATTCATCATTGTGCGGATGTGTGTGTGTGCATAGTTTGCATGTGTGTACGTGTATGTGTGTCGGCCCGCCGTCATTTCAAATGAAATGCATAGTCATGCAATGCCGCCGCCAGCCTTGGAAAGCCGTACCAAACAAATAACGCAATATTTTTGACATCAGCACCATGTCCTGGTGCAATCTGCACACACACACACACACACACATACAACACGTCCGTCTGTTCGTCTATGCTCGGCTGATGTATGAGACTAACGTGCAGGTCAACAGCATGGAATTGTTAGAAAAATGAGCATACAAAACGTCGGCCATATGTCAGCGCATAAAATAAATAACATAAATTGCAGGAAAAATAACAAGCAATGTCAGCGTCGCCATTTCGTTTCGGTCCGTGAAGAGTTGCCTTGAAGGGGGCGGTCATGGTGACGGTGATGGTGGTGTTAGTGCTGTTGTTGGTCGACTTTGAATATGCGTGTGTTCATTCTAGTGTCAAGTGAGTGGCCAGACCATTGCTGAGCTGATTTGCAAGCCATACTCAATTGTTGTTACTCCACTCATTGCATTGTCGTTGTTGTTATTGCTACCCATTGTGCGCCGGATGATCTATGAGGCTGTGTTGGTTGGCGTGACTCCTGATGGCCATTGCTTGGCAGTTACTTGGGAATAGCATTTACATTGCCCAGGCTCCGACTGTGAGGCTAATGGGGATGGTGGGTAAGAGCCACAAGCCACAATTGTCTCAGAATAAAGTGAGCTCCAGTTCAAATGCTCAAAGTTTACCAACTCCCCAATTAGTTGAACATCATCTTGTGACATATTCCTCACTTCTTTATTTTCATTTAAACTTTGTTAAGCTTTAAGAATTCTCAACTTACAGCACATACGAGTATACAAAGCCAAGACTAAAGCCAATCGCAAGCACAGCTGCACACTCCCCAGATTTAGGTGCTCGTACAAGCGCTAAAAAGGATTTGCGCGCTTGCTTCGCAATGACAGCGTGCCAAAAAGGAAACGAGAGCGGGTGCGAGAAAAAACGACAGATAATGTCAATATTAGTCGCTTGCATAATGTACAATAAATGGCGAAATAATACAAAAGCTGGCGAAATGAAAAGGCAGCAGAAAACGCAGGTACGGGGAAAAGGAAAAGAAAAGGAAAAGAAAAAGAAAAGGAACTGATGCGACAAAGGAGTATGAAAAATCAATAGCTTAAAGCAAAAGGCAACAGCACAATGAAAAGGACAATCACACAGTCAGTTTATTTCTGTGTGTGTGTGTGTCACACACAAAGGCGAAATATTTTTACGCTAAGCCGGATGTCAAATAAAATATAAATTTGTCAGTTATGGTTTATGGGATCGGGAATGTGGGGGCAACTCGTGCGCATTGTGCGAAAACATTTAAAAATATACATAAAGCCCACATTTTTGACAAATTAAACATTTTGATAATGTGCACTTTTATGTGTATTCTTATTTGTTAGCCTCAGTGCCGAGTGGTAGCTGGCACAGCTATTGAGCACTCTGAGTGCATGACGATATAAAAACCCCAGCATTTATTGTGTGTTGTATTATACTTATGTATATATGTATATTATGTATTATATTTGCTTGCGGCACTCCACGCGCGCTTGTTTTTATGAAAATGCGAAACAGTTTTTGAAAAATGAATCAAAACATGCGCACGTCATAAATTTGCTAAAAAGCATAATAAATAAAATGAAATAATAACATTTTTATTACATTGAAGCGGCCAAGCGTAAGCCAGAGAGAGTCCCTGTCGCTCTGAATTGAAGCCCAATCAAGCAGCGCCAAATGCTTCCAGCTTGTAAATCGATTTTACCGCGAATAGGACGCACCTTTACTTCTCTCTCTTAGCTACTTGTAAGCTTCACAACACTGGCCAACACAAATTTTACACCAAAGCAATAGCCTACAAAACGCTGGAATAGCATTTTTTCAAAGTCGGCCTAATCTCTAAAATAATCACTTGTCTTTTAACTAGAAATTTCAAGCTTCGTTATTGCTTTTTGCTTCTAAAGGCCTTAAAGCGATATATCTTAATTCTAGACATAAACTGTTGGTGTAGTTAAAAATGCTAAAATTAAAAATAACATTTTCCAAATATCCATTTTTTAATGGGAAATCAGGATATTGAAACAATCGATCAAATCAATTAGGAGGCAACGATAATATCGTTCCATTCTTCGTATATTGCACCATATTGCACTTCTCTTACCTTTTTGACGATTTATTGATATTTTAAATCGATTTTTTTTAGCATCCAAATTAATCAAAAGAGGAAAGTTTTTCTGCAAAAAGAAAAAAGAAAGATATTAATAAAAGAAAATATTTCTTTATGCATTTATTTTGGCGATTGAGCCGTCTCTGACTATAACATTTTTTCGTCTTAAATAAAATTACATCCGGTTTTGGCTATTTACAAGGCTATTTAGGTGGCCCATATTTACAAGAGCTACCCGCTCTTGATTAGGAAGCACCTTCTCTAGGGTGTAAGTAAATTTTGTTTCCTTTTTTCTTCAAACGTGTTATTTGACATATAGGTGCTCGAATATTTATGTTGATCTGTGTAATTCAATGTTGCCCTTGGCCTCCCCTTCACTTCACTTTCAATACACTTTCTCGCTAATACCTTGGCAAGGCAAAAGTTTGCTCGCTGCTTTGCCTTTGCTGTGCCAACTGGCAACAAAGCATCGCCTTTTGTTTTTGCACTTGGATCGCTGTTATAATGATGCCATCATAAATTATTACATTGCTATTTCATTTTATTGTTTCACCCGCTATTGAGCAGAACCCGCAACAGCAGTCACAAGCAGCGAGGCTCAGGCCGAGACCGAGTCAGAGGCCGAGTCCAAGGCGGAAATATGGGCTCTGAGTATGGGGCAATTATTATTACTTTTAAAGCATTTTTATGCTTTTTTATTTCCTGCCAGCCCGTCTAATGGTTAGATGCCTTGCCACGATTTTGCTATTAACAGGCAAAAGCGCGCGCCTGCATATATAACAATCTTTTGTCGAAAAATTTACTGAGTGCCAGAGTTTATTATGATTTTTATGGACGCCTACAGTGTACGGCTGTACAAGTATATGGGCAGCGCACAACGACAAGAACAACAACGATGACGATAAGGGCAACGACACTGCGCACGTGCAGTTACATTGGGTTGCTCCGCTTCCTGCTACTGCTGCGTCAAGTCCTGCTGCGGCCTGATTGTTGCCACCTGTAAGATTCACTGGCTGGCCAATGCCATTTGCCATGCTCAGCATATTTTATGTACCAAACGTAATGAAAACCAGCCTGTGCTTGCTGTGGCACTGGTTGTGGCCATGTTGATGGTGGGTGGGTGGTTGGTTGGCTGCTTGGATTGAGAGGCGGACAGACGGGCGGAAATTGTTAAAACTGTAATTGCTAAACGAATTTTAATGAGCTCATTAATTTGATAAAGGGATTTACACCGTGTTGCGGTCTGGGTGCGCGCCTGCCTCTGACCAAATGTTGTTGCTGCTCCAGCGATTCGGGCGCCACATTGTGGTCGCCATTACTGTCAGTTGTTGGTCTCCCATCCAATTCGTTACACCCCCTCCCCATCCCCTGTGTTTATATCGCCCTCTCTGGCTCTATCTATCGCTTCATGCATATCTATCGTGTTGGTCACTGTGTGACGCATTAATTAAAATTGTCCCTTAAATTATTTTGCAGCTTGCCCAGCTGTTGGCACATAAAATTTTTTGACTTGCTAATGTCAATTTCAAGTTGCCAGTACAGTTTTGTAGTACTTCACACCACTCTTTAAAGAACTCTGACGCTGGCAGGGAGAGTTTCAGTCTTGCTGATTGCGTGCCACAAAAAATAGAAATGCAACCAACTCGCGTTGCTGCAGTGCTGAAACAAAAAAAAAGCAAGAATAACAATATACATGCGTATGCACAACAAAAAGCATATCGAAGCAAAAACTCTATATAAACATTGTCTGACAGTTTTTCAGCGTTGGCAACACATCAACAAAAAATGTGCGCAAAATTAAATAAACGAAGCGTAAGAGATATGAGAAACAAGTGTAACGGCAGCAACAGGATGCGATGGCACAGTTACAACTACAGATCCACACAGATACATATACACACAGATACATACATCTGCAGATATGTCCGCAGTGATAGGCAGAACATAAACAAACACATAAACACGCAGACCCTCTCAGACACACTTCATGCTTCTAGCGACATTTGCCTGTAAAATGAGAATCATGGCGAGTTTTTTCTCATATTTTTTCTCGTCTCGCCTCGACTTTCCATTTTTTTTTGTTTTGGCTAGCTAGCACCTCAACATTGGAGGGTCGGTCAGTGTCTACCTGCCAGCTTATATTTTTTCTGAACACTTGCCAAGTTCATCACGTGTCAGTTGGAGTCGGCCAGACCAGACCAGACCACATCAGACCAGGCCCAACCAAGCCGGGACAATCAAATGTCAGCAGAATCAGCGGCTATTTTGGTCGCCCCCCTGACGCGTAACTGAAAACGTGTTGATAAGCACGCAAAAAGCTAATTGGATTTCATTGAATTAAGAAGCAGAATACAGTATATCGTTTATATATACGTATATATAGCTTGTGCATGAACTGTCAAGAAGTTTCAAGTGAATGGCATTGAATGGGCGAGTGCTATTTGATACCGCCAGCATAAGTGCGTTTAAAACAATTCGCTTAAATATTTATATCTGCAACTGAGGAAAACTACAAATGGAACCCATTTCAATGATTTTATAGAAAGGTATTTCACGAATATCTATCACTCTTGCATAGCCTTGTTTCAATTAATACATAAAATATTAAAAACTATTCACTTAACTAGCCTTTGTCCTTTTTTTCAGCCAATGAACCATAACCAACTTTTAAGGCATCAGCAACCCAAATCATCGAGCCCCTTTTTGAAATTTATAGATTACGAAAAAAAAACAAGTTTAGATTTAAATAGAATAGAAGCTGAAATGAAAAAGTATCTCCATTCAGGGAAGGTATTTTTTGAAATAGAATTCTTTTTCGACAGACGTTGTACAGGAGACAATTTTTTTCGCTAATAACTTTTCTTAGAATTAAAATTAAAAATAATTAATTAAAATTAATTAGATAACATTTTAAACAACAGTAGATAATTATATATGAATTATATGTGCAAAGTTTGGTTTAGGTAGCATTTGAAATGTGGACAGTATTGGGTGGGGCGGTGAAATCAAAAAAATAAAATAAACTCGTCCTTTCTCGGGCCTAGGAGAATCTGAATACCAACTTTGGTTATTCTAGCTTTTATAGTTTCTGAGATCCTTGCGTCCATCCAGACACACGGACGGATTTCTCTTGTCATGCTGATTCAGAATATACATACTTTATGGGGTCGGAGATGCCTTCTTCTGAATGTTACATACTTTGCACAAACCTAATATACCCTTTTTACCCTACGGGTACAGGGTATAAAAATTTAATAAAATACAACGTACATAAAACATTGTTTGGATATTTAAAATAAATTAGAAATCACAGATGACCTCGCCTATGAGTGATTGTCATATTCATTATATCTAAGCACCATGTGCGATTTGACACTTGAAAACTTTTTATATTTGTTATACATTGTACATTTGGCTTAAAACCGTAGTAAGTCTACTTAGCATATCATACAAGTTACCAACTTTTTGTTTATATTTTGAATTACATAAGAAAAGGTAATACAAAATAATCCAACAAAATAGCAGAGCACATAAAACCATTTAAGCTCATAACATCCAAAGAAATGCGAGACACAAATAGAGACATACCCCCCTATGGTTTTATTAAGTAAGAGCAACCCACGATGTTCCGCCGACAATAGTGTGTAAATTGTTGACACTGTTTAAGCAAATGTTGCCAGAGAAAATACTACAAAATAAGGAAAAACTTGCACAGGCAGCGACAATTGTAAACTTTTGCCAGACACACACAGGTGTGCCATCAACAGACGCAGGACAAACAAACAAAAAAACAAAAAAAAACAACAGAAAAAGCAACACAAGCTATAAAAATAAAAAATAATAATAAAGATAATATTTTCGCGGGCTGTTTTTCATTTTCGCGGCTCTTGCGCTTGTTGCTGTTAATACAGAAAATTTGCACTTGCATAAATATTTTCATATTATGCGGCATAAAAAATAAAAATAAAGAAAACGAAAGCATAAAAATATTCGAAAATTGTCATTTCATGTTATTGTGTGTGCCAAGCATTTAATGAGACATAAATTGCGAACAAATGATCAAAATCGAATACCCCCCTCTCCTGGTCAAGCTGAGGTAATGAAGACAAACGATGCGACCGCTCGGCATTTTGGGATTCGCGTATAAGCCTGTTAGAACAAACGAGAAAAAAGGATTTAAGCCGAAATGATGTCACCAAATGTTGCCAGTGCCGATAAAATATTCAACAAGCGCCCAGCAATAGCAACAACAACAACAACAACAGGAACCTTAGTAGGGAGCGGTAAAGAAACGGGTAAACAGCGAACATGGCGTACAACAATGAAAACATTAGTAACATTTGTTTGCATTAAAATGAAAACGTTGACAATCTTTGTGACTTTGAATGCCAAGCGCAACACATGCGCAACAGCAACAGCAACGGCAACAGCAAAAACAATGGCAACAATCATAAAAACAGAGGTGTGTCTGTATATAGTTTCAATAGAATTAACATTCGTCTTTTTAGCAGCAGCTACAGCAGCAACCATGAAACCCTCCAGCTAGCTGTCCCGACTTTATGCTTGTTACGCAATCCGAGCCCGAGACCCAACCTTTTGCATACAACAAAAACAAGCAACAGCAGCAGCAACAGTAAGGACGACAGTAACAGCAACAGCAGCAGATTTGCTAGCGAACTCATTCATTTTGTGAAGCGGTGGCAGCCTGTCAGAGTGCTTAGCAACATTCCTCCACCCGTCGTCATCTGCCCATTTACCGCCCCAACCCCAACCTTGCAATGCTTCCCCCATTTCATTCGTATTCGAACATTGTGTCCTGTTGAACATTCTTAATTAGGTTAAATCTACTGTGTCGCACACTGCTGTGCCAAAGGATATATTTTGAATGACGTACCACTGTAGACGTTGGCGAGGCGAAGAGAAAATGCTGTCGGGGCTCCATTCCATTCCATTCGACTCGACTCAATTGGGTTCTTCGTGCGCGTATACAGTAATGAAGTGTTGTGGCTGCGTCTGCATGTGTATATGTTTGTTTGTGTGTGTGTGTGGGAGGTCGTGCCTATTCAG